AACGGGGCCACAAGAAGAGAAAAATAATATTTAACTATTCAAAGATGAGTATGAATTCTTCTTTAAAATTTGTCAAAATTATTCGTTGTTAATTTATAGAATTTTGTGTATGCTATATAGGGGGTGGTGCTACCTGCTTATCAAGCCATCCAGGCATGTCAAGCAGTTGTCATCCATCGGTCTAGGGATGACAATCCCGCACATCATCACGTGTTGTCTCGGTATATATGATGTGTCAGGTTTGGGACATTCCCGCCTATAGTGCCAACGACGGTGGCGGTCCCCCTCCGCCACCGCCTCCACCATAGGTGCGTTTTTCGTTTTTTATTTATTTTTTTTAAATTTGTTTTCAAACAAAGCAAAATCTTTTCGTTTTCAAATTAAAAAAAAGGGAGACAAAATGGTTTTAAGCGGGGTGGAATTTTTTTAAAAAAGTAATCAGAACCGTTCATATTATAAATCATCATATAAAGATCGTCTATGCAAAAAATCAATTAAAATTAAGGTCGTGTAGTCATCAAACTATTTAAAAACAAATGAACGGTATTGGTAAAAGCATTACGCACCGTCTATGCATTTACTACAATAAATTAACTAAACGATTTTAGTTTTAATTTATTTTTTGCAGAGATGATCTTTATAGTGTGATTCATAATATGAACGGTTCTGATCATAAGCATAAAACTATGTGATTAAAATATTAAGAATTTTAAGTAAGAGTTCATATTCATATTCTTTAAGTAACCAAGTATTGTTCCAAGAATAAACAGCCAAAAAGACAAAAAAAGTGAAGAAAAAGTGTTGTGCAAACTACGCAACTGAATAGTCAGACAAAACACCACCATAAGTAGAGATTAAAGATCCTTTCGTTATCTTCAATTTTTTCTTGTCATCTATAGTATGTGGGGGAAGAAAAAGCATGCATCATGCTCAGTAGTCAAAAGTGGAAGCTTTACTGTACCTAGGGGTGAGCACGGTGCGGTTCCATCTCTAAATCAGAATCGAAACCAGAAAATATCAAAAGTTTGGTTCGGTACGGTTCTACTTAAATTTATTAGTAAAATCGTACGGTTCGGTCTACATCAGTTCCAATTCGGTTCTTACCGGTTTACAGTTCCGAATACTAAATTATAAAATACCAAATCATCATGCATTCAAATACATCTTTTAAAACTGATTATATAAAGTTGCATACAACAAATCTTTTTTAATGCAAATGTCTTTGGTAGTGGCACCAAGTCAATAAAAAGAGACAACTAAAAGAAATATGCATTGGTCAGTCAACAAACAAAAAAATGAAGAAGAAAACTGCAAGTTTATTTCAGAGAGCAAGCAGGAGAGCAAGCAGCAGCTCTTGTACACAATCAAACAACTTATTTCAGAGAGGAATCATAGGCTTCCCCAGTAACAATTAGAGTAACTTAGAGCAACTCCACCCCTAAAGACTTTGCACCAACACCCAGCCTATTTATCCACTTCAATAAACAGTAACAGACCCTAATGAACAGTAATAGGCCAAAGCATCCCCACTCCTAACAAAAAATAGACTAGTCAATTTTATTAAAATTTTATTATTTTTTATTACAATGGTCCTCTTATCCGACTCGTCATCGTCACCCTCCATACCTTCTCCGTCGTCCTCCACTTTCACTTTCCCTTTCTCCTTCTTGTTCTCCGCCTCGGCCTCCACTTTCTCCTTCTCTTTCTTCTTCTTGTTCTTGTTCTCAACTTGGGTCGGTGCTAAAGCTAGGCCAACCAGTCTCAGTCACGACCACTAGAGTGTTCTCGTATCATGCAACGACCATGGTTCTGATGATGGCGTCAACCATCATGTTGAGAGGTTTTGGTATCGGACGCCCGTGGTGAGGTAATCTTGGAATCCGAATTGGTGCTTCTGAAACAGGGGAAACTTGACCTCTGCCTTGCTCTCGCCGAAGTTGTCCTCCTCTTCCTTCATAGCTTCCTCTTCTGCTTCTTCCGCCTCCACCTCTTCCTTCTTCGCCCGCTCTTTCTTCTTATGAGCTCCCTTGACCTTCTTCCTCGCTGGTGCCACGGGTCACCAGCTTGATTTCGCCGGCGCCACCAACTGCTTTTCTTCTTGCTCAGTCGTCTTGTGTTTCCTCGGCACCATTCCCACAAAACGCACGCTAACAGGCCGGTCTCTGGCTCTGTCAATTCTGGGCTAGCTTGGAGACCAGTAGGGGTGGGCATAAAAACCGCCAAACTGCAAAACCGCATCAAACCGTAAGAAAAAAAACAGAAAAAAACCGTGTTGACCGAAAAAGTCAACTTTGAGTGAAAAACCGAACCGAACCGTTCAAATTGGTTCCGGTTCCGATTTCGAATGACCAAGAACCGGCCGAACCGAACCGAACCGTTTTATTAATAATAAATAAATAAATTATATATACACACACATGTCATGGTATAATAGGTTGAAAAACAGGTTGAAAAATTGTGTACAGGAGCTGCTGCTTCTTACTTGCTCTCTGAAGTCTGAAAACCTGCAATTTGCTTCATCATTTTTTTGTTTGTTGACTGATTGACCAGTGCATATGTATTTTAGTTGTCTCTTTTTGTTGACTTGGTGCCACTAACAAAGACATTTGCATTAAAAAAGATGTGTTGTATGCAACTTTATGTAATCAGTTTTAGAAGATGTATTTGAATGCATAATGATTTGGTGTTCAAATAATTTATTATTAGGAACCGTAAACCGGCAAGAACCGAATCGGAACCGGGGTAGACCGAACCGTAATGTTCTAGTAATAAATTTAAGTGGAACCGCACCGAATCGAACCGTTAATATATTTCGGTTTCGGTTCCAATTTAGAGGTGGAACCGCACCGAACCGCACCGTGCCCACCCCTAGAGACCAGCTTGGGCTGGGTGCCAGGTAATTAAATGGGCTGGAGAGGATTGACTGAATCCCAACCCCTTTTTTTGATTGGGTGCCGGCCTAATGGTGTTCCGGTGGAAGTGCTCTTAGGGAAGGAGAAAGTTTCACAACTGGCCCTTGTCACCTTAATTACAATATCCCGGGTGTGTAATATTTTACTTTTGTTAGGCGTTATGGTGCGACTATCTTATTTTATTATGCTTATGGCGTGACCAATTCTATTCATAAAGATATGGAGGCAAGCGTGGTTTGACGGGGATTTCAAGTGGGGTAGATTTCGCGTCAAAAACTCCAAAGCTTCCGCTCATATCAATGGTTTGCGGATGTATTGCAGAGATCTCAAACACATGCAGGAAACTAGCCAGAGTTAAAAGCGTCATCTGAAAGCCAAAATTTATGCCAGGGCATACTCTTCTCCCACTACCAAAACGCATGAGCTCAAAATGCCGACCCTTGACATCAACATCCGCCGGGTCAAACTCCGACCCTTGTGACAAACCTTTCCGGCTTAAACTCCGCCGGGTCAGACCAAACCGTTGGGTCGGAATGGATCTTCCACAGGTTCACTAATTGTAGCTTGGATTAAGCCATTAAGGCTGAGATATCTATCACTACAAAGCGCTTCGTTAGTGTACACGATAACATATCTTAGAGATTTCTTCATGGGACCTCTAGGTCAACTTTCATATATAGGTTTGTCGCTTGCCAAATAAATTCTGTTTTGTTTAAGAGAATTTATAATTAAAGATTGTTAGATTTTAGCTAAAATATATAGATAACATTAAACACATTAAAAATTCAAATTCTATAAGCTGTTACTGTCATAGAAAGCAAATGGATTTGTAATTATCGATGCCTGGGAAGCAAACTGCTAATTGATCACTACCAGAAAAAAAAAACAAAATGAAATAATAATAATTGATCACTGTACAACTACTTTACGTTAAATGTTCTCATCGGGAAAGAAAATTGTGTTTATCAAAGACTTTTGTACGTGGCTGAGAAAAGTCATTGCTCCGATCGAGATATCTATCACTACAAAGCTCTTATTTAGTGTACACGATAACATAGTTTAGCGATTTCTTCACGGGACATCTAGGTCAACTTTCGTATATAGGTTTGTCGCTTGCCAAAGAAATTCTGTTTTGTTTAAGATAATTTATAATTAAAGATTGTTAGATTTTGGTTAAAATATATAGATAACATTAAACACATTAAAAATTCAAATTGTATAAGCTTTTACTGTCATAGAAAGCAAATGGATTTGTAATTATTGATGCCTGGGAAGCAAACTGCTAATTGATCACTACCAGAAAAAAATAAAAAAATAAAATAATTGATCACTGTACCAATACTTTACGTTAAATGTTCTTATCAGGAAAGAAAATTATGTTTATCAAGGACTTCTGGACGTGGCTGAGAAAAGTCACTGCTCCGATCGAGAAAAAGCACATCACGGTTGAATAGGTTCCCCATGGGCCATGGTGCAAGCATATCGGAATGACGTTCAGTTCTTCATTAGGTCGAAGAGATTATCTTTTCCCATTTGATCATAATGAAGGGTGTAAATATTTAAACTTATCCGATAATATCACTACTAGCTATTTAATATTTTTCTTTTATTAATGTTAATAACCATGTGAAGTTCATCTTACAGCACTAAATCTGACAACTCAGTTTGGTTAAGAAAATAAGCATTGCTATACTTATCATCCATTTAGACTATCATTTGTATTATTTATGTAATAAAAGTGAGGTATGTCATCGTATGTGGATCATATCTCTATTAGAAAGATAGTACAAATAGATGATAAGAACAACATATTTTACGAAAATTCATTCTTACACTTTATTTTAATATTATTATTAAGAAGAAGATGAGAAAGGTTCAAAAACTATTATAATAATTTACGGGATGAGAGCTTTGAATTCGGAATGCAAAGGTAAAAACAAAAACTTTATCCACTAAAATATTCGGCGACAAGAATTTAAAAATATTACAATAATTTAAGAAATTAGATATTTTTTAATCCAAAATGCATAAGTAAAAACAAATATTATATTCACTAAAATATTCGATCACAAGCCACTCTTGCACATGTACCACTGAATTCAATTTTTCCTCTCTCAATAATAGCTTGTACCATGACAAAAAGAAAAGATTCATATTACAACAAAATAAAAGCTAATTAAACCTCCTTAATTAACCAATTAAGCAGTTCAACTTTTATTCTTGTTCAGACACTTGACCAGAGGTAAGAGTTCACCAGGTAGACGTGAGCTGAGGAGAACTTCCAAAGGAGATACTTTTGGAATGGTCAAACCAGGACTCTCAGTCTCTCGGTCTCTCAGTCTCTCAGTCAAATAAATAGTCTGGCCGGCGCAGTTTCAATTTAAACCAGTGCAGCAGACGAGCAAGCGTTAGGTGAAGAACTTGCATGGCCAACAACACACCAGGGCACGACCGTCTGCTAGAGCCAAACAACATCAACTCAAATTCTTGCCCTCGAACGTCTATGGGCCTATAGCTTTCCAAGAACCTCTTAGGAACAAAAGCAGATGTGTTCTCCCAAACCCTACGATTCCTATGAATCTTCCATACATTGACCACTAGCCGGGTGCCAGCTGGCATTCGGTACCTTGCTATGGTATAAGCGCCTACAATTTCCATGTGTTTAATTTTGTTTGAATTAAGGTAAAAATGAGAAATGATCAATTTTCAACATAAATGTATGAGTTAATTACTTCCGAGTCTAGTAACGTGAATTTGTAATTATTTAAGTATTCAAGTACGTAGTTTGTGGACTGCAAATAGAACAAGATCCATAATCACAACATTAAAGTCACACTTAAACATGATAAATCTTGAATTACCGTTATCATCAGCTAATAGCCTACGTGGTAAGTGTGTGCCATACTTCTAAATGGCAACCAAACACACCCCCATCCAATCATACTTTCCTGCCTAATTTACGTTGTAATTTGAATTCCTATCTGCAAGCAACCATATTAGTACATTCCTCAAAGCGTATTTTAAAACTAATTGTAAACAGTACCAACTAGCGCAGTGTCGTGTTTCTTCAGTTTTTTTTTTTTTTTTTTTTAAAAAGAAAAGAAAAGAAAAGAAAGATAACATACCAGACAGGTGGACTTGATGCTAGTATCCTCATCACCTCCTTCATCCTCCGCCTTACCATGAGAAGCTCCTCTCCTCTGGCGGTGCTCCTCCAGCCACCCTCCGAGTATTTGATACAACTCTTTCGCCGTCTTCTTCATCGCCTTTTTGTGCCCCTGCAAATCCAACCACCAAAGAAACGGAAGTGCATCTGCCACCACAAAAATCCCAATCAGATGAAAATACTGCCCAATCGCCTTCCGACATCGCCTCGCCTCGCCTCGTCCCCATCTTCGAATTTCGTCCGACGCGCCAAAATAACGCTTTCCTGCCACCATCCTAACTACCATGTTAAGAGCTGTTTATTGGTGACTCAAACCCGTTTAGTTTACATTCCTCCGATCAGCATGTGAATATCTTGGTTTCCACAACACGTCAACTACAATACATGGAGTCGTGCTATGCGACTTAGCTTGAGCGTGAAGAACAAACTCAGTTTGGTTGATGGAACCATTGAACCTTCATCTGAAACTGTCAAGCAGTTTACGTCATGGCAAAGATGCAACAACATGGTCCTTGCTTGGATTCTGAACTCCGTACATGATGACATCGCGACCAGCGTTTCTTATTACACATCAGCGGCAGATGTATGGGCAGACTTGCGAAATCGCTTCTCACAGGGAAACGATTCGCGCATCTACCAGATCCAAAGAGAAATCACCAAACATAGACAGGAGCAACAATCAATCTCAGTTTACTACACGAAACATTACCATCCTACAATGAATCTCCAACCTGCACTTGTGGGGGATAAAAGATCAATGATGGAGATGAAAAAGAAAGGGTGATGCAATTCCTGATGGGACTAATTAAACGAATCCTATGCCGCAGTATGTGGAGAAGTATTACTGATGCAGAGTATCCCTAGCTTATTCGTAATAACAGTTAATTCACATGCTATAAATATAACAAATAAGTAACAACAGGGAACCTGCAACACAAGCCCATCAGACACAAAGAGGGAAAATTCATATTGTGATAAAAACTATCACATAGCATTCACTGTTGATATTGTGAATACTGTTCATATTGTGAATAATTAAAGCAATATGAATACACCCCTCAGAATTCAATTTTCTTCAACTAAAACCCATTACAGTAAATTTCACTAAAAAAATCCAATAATTAGGCTCCAACTAAGCAATATCTAAAATTAAATTTGACTGGCAAAATTTCTATTTTTGTGTGTCTTATTACCCCTAATAACACTGATTTTGGATTTCTCACTTACTATATACATTTATTTTACATTATCTCATTCAATTGAATGTCTTCATATACCTCATACGGGTTTGGAAAAAAAATATAAATAAATAAATGTCATGATTCCTATGCATTTAATAACAAAAATTACATGATGCTAACAACTAAATTAATATATGTCACATTCCGGCCCAAGCCCCCACCATATTCCAGGCTCGACGTCTACCCTCCCTTAGGGGCCCGACATCCTCGTCGGTACACATTCGGCCAGGGATTGGCTCTGATACCAAATTATCACATCTCGGCCTGGGCCCCCACCACATCTCGGGCTCGACTCCACTGTAGCACGATATTGTCCATTTTGGGCCTCGGCCATGCCCTCACAGTTTTGTTTCTGGGAACTCACACGAGAACTTCCCAGTGGGTCACCCATCATGGGATTACTCTCGCACGAACTCGCTTAACTTCGGAGTTCTAATGGAAGCCGAAGCCAGTGAGCTCCTAAATGGCCTCGTGCTAAGTAGAGATGTGAATATACATATAAGACTTACATGATCCACTCCTCTGGATGATGTGGAATGTCACAATATATCCTACAATTATAAAAAAAAAAAAAAAAAAAAAAAAAAGTTGTTTTACTCAAAATTATCAATATTTTAAATATAATATAAGGTAAATTATTTTGCACAACACATATATAATAACAATATAAGTTCCTGGTAAATTATGTAATAATACATGTAAAATAATTTACCTATAAATAAATAAATATTTTTTTATTAAAAATTAATTAAATATCTATATTTTGAAAAAAAAAATAAAACAATTTACCTACAAAATCACAGAAAGTTGATTGATTGCACACATCATATAATAATAACAAAATGTGGCTAGTATATATGTAATATCACATGAACAATAATTTACTTACAAAATAAATAATTTTTTTTAGCCAATTGACCCAAAAATTAATTACTTACCTATATTTTACATAAAATTATAGATAAATTATTTGCATGACTACATATAATTATAACAAAATGTGCCTAATATTGTTGATCCTAAAAATTACAAAGCGCAGGCTGAGTAACTAATGAGCTAACTACGTCATTCGGTTGATGCGGTGACACACCTCGACCCAGAAAGTCCACTTGGACCCTAAATCGAGTTGTGCTGGCCGACACTTGGAAGGTGACGAAGCCGAAAAATGTGATAGGGTGTAGAAAAATGTGAATAATTTGAACCTAAAAATTATTAATACCAGAGTGCGTTGCGAGGGGGAGCGAACCCATTTCACGCACGATGTCAGAGCATAAGTAAGGTGCAGGAGTGTGGGTAAGAATCATACCCTCTGAAATATCCATCAATACTAAGATTCGCCACAGATTCTTGTCGATACAAACTCAGCAGCTAAAACCTAGAGGGCACCAAACAGAGAGTGTGAGTAAGCAATAAAACCAAGCTTCCCAAAGTTATTACCTCTCTAAAAGTAATGCCCCTAAATGTAAAACCCGTATCATTTTCCATAAGACAATACAACATATATACATAATCCAAATCATACTCAGAAATGGCCAGAACCACGGTTTGTCATCAACTCCACCATGCAATAATAAGTAGGCCAAATGAACTTAATCAATACAAAATGATATATCAGTCGGAGTCATCTAATATGACATGTACAACTTATCCATATCTCATCAATTATGGCTAGCATATAAGTTAGAGTCACCTATAGTGACCTGTACGACTTATCCGTATCTCATTAATCATGGCTAGCATATAAGTCGGAGTCACCTATAGTGACTTGTATGACTTATTCATATCTTATCAATCATAGCTAGCCAATAGCTCAATAAGTATATCTGTACACGAGTCGAAACCACCTAAAGTGGTCTGTACGACAAGACTGGGTGTAAATAAATATGCTCAAGTGCTACGATCACGTGAAGACTGTGCTGAATAATCGCGGGTCACCTACGAGTCGGAACCACCTAAAGTGGTCTGTACGACAGGATTGTGCACCTACCTTGGATCCAAGGTGAGTGTAAGGTGCGAGAGGTGAACATGACATGAATGACTGTGCCCTGGCCACGGGCGGGAGTACTAACACCGGGGTGCAGGTTTATGAGCTATATTATACCTCAACACAATCATACTCACTAACATCACTAACATCACTAACATCACTAACATGTACTCACCTAAGGCTTACCTAGGCGTCTGCGGCGTCATATAGCACTTCAAAGCATTCACAATAGTCAGGTCCAGGTAATGTCCATATGAATATGCCATGATGCAATCTAAACCCAAACATTTCATGATATTCCGAAAATATATATAATACGGTGTAACATGTACAATCAATAACACCCTACTCCCAAACTATTTACTTTTGAGAGTAATCATTAGTGATAAGCCCAATTAGACCCTAGTTACATTAACTATCATACTTACCTTTCCTTACTTCAATTTCTTGATTCTTCACGCATTGATTTATGATCAACATTTAATCACCAAATCATAAAGCTAAATCTCACAATTCCCACCAATGTCCCTCACATTGCTCAATTCACTAAACAAGGCTATTGTCCCAATTATTTAATCTCATTTATTATATGGTTGCATCTAACGTCTTGTTAGACTGCTTACGTACCCTAAACAGGGATTAAGCCATTCGTAGTTCGAAATGATTAATTGTAGGTAACAAGCATAGATCACTATAGAAGTGCTTGTGGAACTATCAATTATATGCCTATGAAAGAAAAATGCCCATTCACCTAGAGTCCACGCTATGATTATCTTGCACGCACATCGAGACATCCTGATCTATCGTCTCCTGCAACCAATTATCAAATCACCTCTCAAAGTTTTTACCGATATAATACATAATTTACATAAAATATATCCTCAAGGACCTTCAAGAATAATTTGAGACCCATTGACCAAAAGTCAACCATCGATCAAAGATCGACAGTAGGATCTACAACCTTGTATAGCTCGATTTGGAAGATCCGCATATCAGATTTCCAATCTGCAACCCCCAACGATCCACAATATGTTTCTAGAATAACATATTAAAATTTCATTACGATCCAACGGTTGGATCTCCGCCATTTACTCAAAACCAAGTGGACGTGAACATTTATTTTATTAACTTACAAATTCAATTCGGGAAGATCCATACATCGGATTCCCGATCCATAAATTCCTATGATCTTTAAATATTACATATTATAATGTATCCAAGTTTGGTGACGATCCAACGGTCGAATCGTCGATTCACATTTTCATCAAGCAACGTATTGTAACGAATTTAGATTCCAACGATCAACCTATGTCATTCAAATAACAAAACTGAATTCAAGACATTCGACATAGCATAAAAATAACATTGGCGGCCCACTGGCCACGCGCCGCCGCACGCGCCCCCGCGGGTGGCGGTCGGCCATCCCGACTCGCCGAAAAATCTAACTATTTCCAAAAATTCTCAAACTTCACGTTGGGTTTTGCTCCTGGGATGATGGGCTACAAAGCCCAAGTGGTGGCATCGGCCATCGCTTTGCCGATCTGCCGGAAAATCGAAAGGGTGGCCGGAGCACCATTGATTTTCGTCAAATTTCGTGGCCTCAAACCGCCACATCCCATGGTTAATCAAGGTGGGTTTTGGGTGGGTTTTGTAGAGGGGAATGAGAGCTTCAAGATAGGGGGTGGTGGCATCGAAAAACTCCACCGGAGTTGGTCGGAATTGGCCTTGAAAGATGGGTAGTCAGAGAGGTGTACGGACGGAACCCACGGGAGCTTTTCCCTTTTTTTTTTTTTTTTTTTCTTTCTTTCTTTCCTTTTTTCTCATTTCTGATTTTTTGGCTTCACCCCACAAAGTGGGGATTTAATTTAATTAACACTAAACCTTGAATAACCAATTTCGAACGTCCGTAACTATGTTGTTATAATCCGGACTCGCAAACGGCTTTCGCCTATACATTCGTACCAACGAGTACTACGAGGATATGCTAAAAGAATAAGTCCCACATCTCTCAAGTCGATGGTCAACAGAAGTCAAAGTCCTTACCTCTAGGCCAATTTCGTAAATTCATGCTTTTAAAATAAAATAAAAACGTAAAATTTGGAATGGGTTGTCACATGCGGGGTGTGCCGACTAGTTGGTAGTCGGCCGAGGAGTAAAATTTGTTGATGTTGCGTTAAGCGCATTGCTGACTTCTTGATCTTGCGATTGCGGCCGAGGAAGGAACAAGTCTCGGCCTTCGGGTTCATGAGCCTAAAGACAAGGCTGCTAGTTCTACAAAGTTCACAAATCGTCGGCGTTGGATTCAGTCACAGTGATTATATTTGTAAGAGTTAAGCACGTCGAATCGACACTAGACTATATAGACACAAGTACTCAAAGGAGATGAATGTCTTAATAGTAAATATGGTTCGACCGTCAGAATGTCGAACTCTGAAACTCACTTGTGAGTATCCAATCATAAAATCACTCGGCGTTCAATGTGCCGAATGTTGTAACTCGTAACACCTTACTTCGCTGAGAAAGCTAATAAGATGACTTCTGCCAATAAGGATTTGGAAACCCTTCTCGACCGAAACTTGGATAGGTAACCAGTCGGCCTCGACGCAATGTTGTTTATCCAAACTGAAAGTGCTCATCGGTCGGCTGATTCTACGGCAACAGTGTTGTTTATTCAAACTGAAGATGTTCGCCGATTGCCTTCACAATGCTGTGTGTCAGCGAAAAAAGAAAATAAAAAAATCTCAAGATATTTGAGAGGTTTGCACAGGACAATTTGTGTGTTCAATTGGAGGTGGCATTTACGTTGCCATGACATCTGTATTTATAAGACTGATGTACTTGCTTGGCACATCTAAATAATTGTGTAGAGTCTGACTGCAACTCTAACTCGCTGAAATCTGATCTGTGGCCTTCAAATTTGGTGACTTCTAAAATAAAACCTATCTAGACTTTATCACACCACATCATCAGAACCCTATCCCACCTAGACTTCTGATCTTATTAAAAAAAAAAAAAAAAACCTCAGAAACCATTACTTCCATCACCATGCAAAAGCAAAAAGCCTAGTCTACCTAGGTTTCTTGTGTCATCATCACAACCTAGGCTTATCACATCACCACCAAAATCCAACCCCATCTAGGCTTCTTCATAATCTTACCCACGCATGCATCCTGATCCCCACCATACTCTAAATAGGCAACAATTAATTTGAACCACCTGGCACCACCCACATATTCACACGCCAAAACAACCAAATCAAATTGAATTGTGCTGCCACGTTTCCAGTTGGAAATTCATATCTCATCTTTCATAATAAATTATTATTAAAAAATAATTATGATAAAACACCATAATATTATCCTTTAATAATAACAAAATAAACTACTTTTCATCGGACGATGTGAAGTTATGCTCACTCAACGATCTTAATTGCACGGACCGACGGTGTAAATTCGGGTCTAAACAAATATATACATGCAAAATAATTTACCTACAATGATTGTCAAACAAATAAAAGAAATGAAACATATGATGGTAAGACAAGTACAAAGTAGATACTTTTGTAATAATAAGGCCCTTATTATCCATAATTATGGTAGATAATTAAATTCATTAACATAATTAGGGTGTTGTGGCACAATTGTAAATATTTTGAAAATAATAAGTATTTTTTTGTTTACATGACAGTCTATTTTAAATTTAGGTTTTATTTAGATGTTTAAAAGGAGATGGGATTATGTCAAAAAAATAAGTATTGTATGAGCTTATATCTAAAGATAGTAGAAATATTCTTTTTCCTACATGGTTTTTCGCCTAGCCACAAATACCATGGTAAAACGATGAAGCTTCCAAACAAGAAGTAAGTTGCCAACATGCTAAGACTGTGGCCACCAAGGATGCTAACACAAAACACAAAGCGACATCTAGTGACGGCCCAAAACGCGCCACTTACATAGGAGTACAACCAGATTATGGTGATGCTCGAAAAGAGCAACATTGACGGTAATCCGCAGCATTTTGCGAATTTTGTTTTACAAATTTCTAATTTTATGATAACTTGTTAGTGAAGGACGAAAAAAATAAACAATAAAATTTGATTTGGCGAAAATTTTATTACTATTTATGATTTTATTTTGCACTAGAAGATTAAACTGTCATTTTACTCTCTTATAACTAAGATTTTTTTATTTATTAATACGTAATTTAGATTAAATAAATAGTAAAAATTAGCTTTTTGATAATAATTGCAGCCGTCTACACTAGAAATGGACCATTTTATTTTCTCCTGTTTGTGTACTAGCAAATGGGTGGGTTCTTTCCAAACAAATTGAAAAACAAAAAAACGGGGCAAACGTGCCCCAAATAGAGCCATTTTAAACCAAATTTTGTAAATAAATGATGTGGTTGTTGATAATTGGATTATTAGTGTAACATCCCACATCATCCAGGGGAGTGATCCTTAAATGAATATTCTCATCCTTACCTAGCACGAGGCCTTTTGGGAGCTCACTGGCTTCAGGTTTCGTAGGAACTCCGAAGTTAAGCGAGAAGGGGGCTAGAGCAATCCCATGTTGGGTGACCCACTGGAAGTTGCTCGTGAGTTCCAAAAAAAAAAAACTGTGAGGGAATGGTAAGCCTAAAGCGGACAATATCGTGCTACGGTGGTGGAGTGGGCCTGGGAAGTAATCCGCCCCGGGCCGGGATGTGACAATTTAGTATCAGAGCCTAACCTTGGCCATGTGTGTGCCGACGAGGACGTCGGGCCCTAAGAGGGTGGATTGTGACATCCCACATCGCCCAGAAGAGTGATCCTTATATGTATATTTTCATCCCTAATTAGCACGAGGCCTTTTGGGAGCTCACTGGTTTCGGGTTCCGTAAGAACTCCGAAGTTAAGCGAGAAGGGGCTAGAGCAATCCCATGATGGGTGACCCACTGGGAAGTTGCTCGTGAGTTCCCAAAAACAAAACTGTAAGGGAATGGTAAGCCCAAAGTGGATAATATCGTGCTACGGTGGTGGAGCAGGGCCGGGATGTGAAATTTGATATCATAGCCTAACCCTGGTCGTGGTGTGTCGACGAGGACGTCGGGCCCCTAAGAGGGGTGGATTGTGACATCTCACATCGTCCAGAAGAGTGATCCTTAAATGTATATTCCCATCCTTACCTAGCACAAAGCTTTTTGAGAGCTCACTGGCTTCGGGTTCGTAGGAACTCTGAAGTTAAGCGAAAGGGGCTAGAGCAATCCCATGATAGGTGACCCATTGGGAAGTTGCTCGTGAGTTCCCAAAAATAAAACCGTGAGGGAATGGTAAGCCCAAAGCGGACAATATCGTGCTACAGTGATGGAGTGGGGCCGGGAAGTGATTCGCCCCAGGTCGGGATGTGACAATTAGTTAAGTGTTAATTAACGTGCTTATTTCATATTAGTAACATATCATTTGATTTGCAAATTTGATTTAGAATTCTAGTATTCCTAGCATTATTCTTGAAAATATAATAAAGAAGTATTTTTTTAGTCCAATTGAAACTGCAACATGCCCATTCCTGAATATTCATTATTGCTAGCAGTTTTTTTTATTGATTTTATGATTACAAATACATTAATGTATATAATTAATAACAACAAAAATCTCTTATTCATATCACAAATATAATGTTATATATATATATATATATTTTATCCATAAAGTTCAGAAGACAAACGAGGTTTGATGAGAACTTTGAGTGGAGTTCTCTTATTATTGGTTAATCCAAAGCTCTCCGTCATATCAATTGGTGTACTTGACGGGTTCAAGATTTCAAACGCATGTAGGAAACTAGCCAATGTAAATTGCACCATTTGAAGGCCAAATGCCAAACCAGGGCATGCCCTTCTACCACTTCCAAACGGAATCAACTCAAAATGTTGACCCTTCACATCAACTTTCTTGTGGGTGGTAAGAAATCTTTCTGGCTTGAACTCAAATGGCTTAGGCCAATTTTTCGGGTCAGTTTGGAGCTTCCAGAGGTTCATGGTTAACCGGGTGCCCTTTCTGATATGGTACCCAGCAATGGTGCAATCCTCAGTGAACTCACGTGGCCCTGATAACGGTGCAGGTGGGTACAAACGTAACGTCTCCTTTATAATAGCTTGGATGTAGACTAAGTTGCTTATATCTTGCTCACTCACAACTCTTTGTCTACCTATTTTGGTGTCCAGTTCGTTTAAGGCTCTTTCCAAAACGTGCGAGTTGTTCAACAATAACGATATTGCCCATGTCAATGTCACCATGATGGTATCGCTACCTGCTGCAATCATATTCTGCATAAGGAATACTTGGTTGATTAATTAGGATACACACACACACACACACACACGTAAGAGTGAGGCCACATTCTTATTCTTTACATTCATAATTTTCTGAGTCTCTGTCTTATTTAGGTGAAGATATACATTAAACATTGAAATATGTCCCACCTTAATTACTAAGAGTGTGTCAGTATACTGTTACTAGCTTTTACTAGAGTGAATTGAACTAACGTTGTAGTCTTGTACTTAGTGCAGTAAATAATTAACTTTAATAACAATAGCTTGGACTCACCTCGGCTTTGGACCTCGTTAACTGATGTTAGCTAATCTAACCGAAAGCTGGTTATTAGCTAGGGAGTATGATTCTCTTTTATTTATTTTTTAGTTTTTAATTCCTCTTCTTCTTCTTCTTTTATTTGATTATTTTTATCTTTTTTTTTATTTTTTATATTTGAACGATTATGATAAGTTATGTTAATATTTTATATTAATTTTTTTTTATAGAAAGAGAAAAGTAAAATAGAAAATATGAGAAGAGTAACGAAAGAGGATGGAACGAGGATGGAAATATGTCTTCCACACGACCGCAGACCTTTTCCAGTGACCGCAGCTCCAGTACGACTTAAAATATTAGATATAGTTACCACCCAGAGTCCGATAACCACCCAGGGTGTTGGACGAGAAAGAGCCAGAAGGAAGAGAGAAAGGGACTTGGACGGGAAAACAAAGGGAAGACAGAGAGGGAGTTGGACGGAAAACTCGCTGTGGCTGCCAACTCGAATTGGCGAGTTTGAACTTGTTCTAGCTTCGAGAAGACGAAATTGGGATTGATCAGGAGGAAGAGTCGTTGGGGTTTGTCACGAGAATTGGGGATTTGGAAAGCGATTCTCCATTTTTTTTTTTTTGTGGTGATAATTTCAATAGTGTCTGTGCAACGCTTGCCCAACTTGAGGAAAACAGAGGAAGAAAAAGGGGAACGTTTGACTGACTTGCTTGGGAGAAACACAGATAAAGGGTTCTAGAAATGAAAAAAGAAAAAGGAATCAATAAAAAAAGAAAAGAAAAACAGAGCATTTTTACTATTTCTAAGTTAATTTGGTATTGGTAAACACGTCACTAAGTTAGTTTAATTTAATTTATTCTAAAACAACCTAACTTAGTTCCTAAAATTAATTAATTCTAAAATAATCAAATACAAAAAACACGCCGTATAAGTAGACAAAATTGACTATGTAAACATATCGGTGTGCACTCAAATATGCGTCATGAGTTGTATGTAAAATTGGAAATCATCTCAAAAATCGTTCTAGATAGCCACCCTAGTATGTAATGTAATTATAAATTCCATTTTTACATGATGTCTATATGAGAAGTATGTCAAATAATTGTATACTATTGATTATTTTAAAATTAAAAAAATTAGAGTTGTTATTGACAATCCAAAACAGTTATCAGAAATCACAAAATATTGTTAAAAGTAAAAAATTGTACATGATCTTAGAATATAAAATTTAAATTTAGAAATTTTCTTGTCTAATTATTTTCGTTTTCCTTTTATAGACCATGCAATTAGCTTGATTATGTAATGAAAGTAAAAAAATAAAATCTTAATGTGTTTATAGTGTCCTTAAGTCCAGCCTTTTACTGTTAATTATTTGCATGCAAATTAATGAATTATATATGTACCAAGCTTGTGGCTTTGTTGATCGTATCAGCATCAAAACCGCCAAGTTCTGCACCATCAAGCACAGAAAGCATCGCATCTATGAAGTCCTGCTCTCCTTTTGCATCACCTTTTGCTCTCCTCTGCTTATGCTCTTCAACCCACTCGCCAACAATGGTGTCCAATTCCTTCGCAATTTTCTTTATTGCCTTCTCATGTCCACCCAAATCCAACCACCGCAGATAAGGAACCGCATCACCCACCAAAAACAGCCCCGCATAATGAAAAAACTCCCTCAATGCATTCTGAACCCTACGCGCTTCTTTCTTCTCATCCTCATCGGCAGCTACTGAATACCGCTTTCCGTTCACCATTCTGACAAGCACGTTCAGCGTCATGTCCCCAAACCATTGCTTCAGCTCTACAACCACTCCATCATTCGAGCCCTCCTTTTGTCTTGTACTCCAAGTTTTGTGCAATTCTTCCAAGAAAGTAGTCACTTCCAATACTCGAATGTGCTTGAGCAGCTCAACCTTCCGGATTGAGAGCAACTCCAACGTGACGATCTTGCGAATTTCTCGCCAATAGGGTCCAGATGGTCCGAACCCAAACATGGCGTAGTTGTAGCCAATGTGCTCTACAGCCGCCATCTTTGGGCGCGAGTTTAGGCTCAAGTCATTGGTTGTGAAGCATTCTTTTGCGATCTCACTGCTGCTTATCACCAACGACGGATAGACGCCAATTCGGATGGTGAAAATGGGTCCGTACTTGTCCGCCATGGCTCCCAAAGTTATGTGAGGAGGTGTGGAGCCTCCTAACAAAGAAAGGTGACCCAATATAGGCCACGCACCCTTGGCTTCAGGTGGGGAGCCCGTGGAATCGGCAGCTCTCCATCTTCGTGATAAGTAATAGGACACGATGATTATTGTGAATAATCCAGCAGCGATGGAGTTTGCATAAGGGAGGGAATCCATTCTGCAACTAAATCATTAGAAATCTAGAGACAGAATTTTTATTGAACTGGGGTGAAGGCTTAAGTTGATTTGTGTTATTAGCGCCATGTCATACATATATATAGGAGAATATGGGCTCGTTAGATGCCTTTGATTTGATTGAAATGGATAATTTTTTATTCTCGAGGCATATTAATTGATGGGAGAAATGAAAATTTTATGACCAATTAGAAGGTAGAACATAAAATTAAAAGGATAATGTTAGAGAGACCATCTATTTAAACCAAATTTTATAAATCATATGACGTGATTGTTGATAATTATTTTATTACTTACGTATTCATTAACGTGCTTAATTCTTATTGGCGACACAACACGTGATTTACAAATATGGTCTAAAAAGTTGCTCTACCTAATATTATATGAGTTTTCCTTGTCCAATATGATGACAAAACAAAATCTTCAATTTCAAACAATGATTCAATTGATGACCAGGTTCTATTACGTTTGACTCACATTTCTTTTCATTCAATCGAAAATTAATTTTACTATATAGATGCTTGTGATCTCCTATATATCTATCTCCTGAACTAATGATTTCCCAGACATTCGTTGAGCGTGTGACACAATACCTTCTATTTATCTGAACAATTATACACTATAGAATCTATACCATACGCTAAAGTTCTTTGGCCATCCTATGATTGAATTGGAACCTTAATTTGCCATGTACAATATATTCGTGAATTATTCATCAAAAAATATATATTCGTGAATTAACTCAAATTACATACTATATGGCTCAGGTGGCTCATTGTAAAATATATGCCACAATCCCACGTGAGCGGCAGATTCTTCTGTGCGGGAGCGATTGGGGTTGGTGTGTGAAGGATTGGACCAAAAGGTGAGCCAGGTTAGCATGACAATTGGAAAAGTGGGATGGTAATTTTGTATTTGGAGTTCGCAGAGACGCATGGTCCGAATATCGAACCTCAAACTTTCTCCAAATGAAGGCGCCGCAGCCATATATGACAAATTATGCGTGCAATTTGTCTATAGTGTATTTTCCGTAGCGCTGTGAAGATTCAAACTATGCGTGCAATGATCTTGATTTCATCATAAGGTCATTAGCTAGATAGTATTTGTCTTGTACAAAATGAACGATTACATTCCTTCTTATAATAATGGCAAGGTAGAATCTGAGGATGCGAAATAATGTTTCATATTGAACATTTTCCGAACCTTTCCTGTACATAAAATTAAATTGTATTTCTCATACATTTTATTAATTCCACTACGGAACCTTAATTTTCTTCTATTTTACTATTTTCAATCATTCTCGTGGACTATAACATTTCCTAAACCTTCGCATGTACATAAAATTAAATTATATTTTTCATACATTTTATTAATTCCACTACGGAACCTTAATTTTCTTCTATTTTACTATTTTCAATCATTCTTGTGAACTATAAGATTTCCCGAACCTTCGCATGTACATAAAATTAAATTAGATTATTCATACATTTTATTAATTCCTCTACGGAACCTTAATTTTCTTCTATTTTACTATTTTCAATCATTCTTGTCGACTGAAAGTGATACTCATTTGTTAAAAGTGGAAGAAAAAGCATGCATCAAGCTCATTAGTCAAAAGTGGAAGCTTTACTTTACCAAAGAGAAAAATTGTAGAAGATTTACTAGAGTATCACTACATCAGCAGCAATGTTCCATTTAATACATTTGTGAATGGCAGCACAATCCTTCTAAACGGAATTAACGTCAAGATTTGTCAATTTTGGCAGCATTTTATTTTTTTGGGTCTTTTTTACAATAGATTCACTCATTTATTTAGCATATAAAGGACAATATTGTGGGATTAAAATGTCATATAAGCCATCAAATGCAGTTTGATGCTTTTTATTGACACCTCCTATACCTCTAGGGTACAGTTCTTGAGTTTAAGTGGAACCACCTCTCTGGGCCTCCAAATCGGAAGGGCAATCCTCAGTGAATTCCCTGAAGCCTGAGAATGTTGCAGTTAACCGCATTGCTTCTTTAAGGCTTGCAGATACATGAGATTATTGATGTCTAAATCATTCACTGATCTTCCTTTAGCCAACATAGTTATCTTGTTCTTCTTGGACTTTGTTCAGAGCCTGGCGGTTGTCCAACAACAATGCGACTGCGCACACCATAAGGATAGTTGTTGTGTCACTGCCTCCAGCAATGATATTCTGCAAAGGCATAGTTAAGTTGTTTGATACCTATATGATTGTTTAATACAAAAGAAGTAATGATTTTTGCACACCTTTCAAGACTTTACAATCCATAGCATTGTGGGCAAAAAAATAAATTTTTCTGATACATAAACTATTTTGTCCATTATACTATTAATTTTTTTTTTACTAATTTCACCTTTTTTTCAAATTAATTTGCAATACAATTCTAGAATCCCAATGTGAATTTAAGATTTTGCATGGTATACGTACCAGAACTATTGCTTTCATGATGGTGTCAACATCCAATGATGTATATTGCGCAACATCTTGTCCGTACTGAAAGCATCGCATCTATAAAATCTAGCTCATCCCGCCTTTAGTCCTGCTCTGCTTGTGCTCCTCTAACCTTTCTAGAAATATATTATCAAGCACTTTTGCATATTTTTTTTCATAGCTTTCCCATGCCCACCAATATCCAAAAACCTAAGCCATGGAACAACATCCCCCAACACAAACATTCCCATATAATGAAAGAGTTCCCTCATGGCTTTATGAAACCGACGTTCCTTTTTTTCATCATTCAAACTACCATTCGTAACATTAAAGTATCTTTTTCTGGCAACCATATCCTAAAAATCATGTTCATATTTAGGTCGTTGAGCCACTGCTTCATCTCCACAGAAAACTGTGTCCTAAGCATGATTATTTTTTTCGGTCCATAACTTATTTTTTTCGGTCCATAACTTGTATAGATGTTTAAGTAGCTCCTTCCTGCGGCTTGAGAGTGGCTCGTGGACTGTTATTTTGCACATCTCATGCCAGTTCGCGCCGTATGGGCTAAACCCTAGCATGGCATAGTTAAAGCTCAAGATTTCAGCGCCTATTGTTTGGGGACGTGAAGAAATAATCAAGTCATTGGTAGTGAAGCACTCCTTTGCAGCCTCCCAAGAATTAACGACCACGACGGGGTGGACACCGATGTTGATGGTGAAGACTGTCCGTACTTGTCCGCCAAGGCACCCAATGCAATGTGGGAAGGCTGGGGCCGTCCTCCGAATAGGCGAAGGTTTCCTACTAGTGGCCACCCACCTGCCACTTTGGGTGGTTTGCAACCTTTGGCATTGGCAGCTGCAGCCCTAAAAGCATCACAGCCATTGGTCTAGGGTTATGGCAATTGAAGGACAAAGGACAATGAAATTGTCCTTACTATTCACTTTAAACCGTAACTGTCTTTGTGAAAGTCCATCCGTTTGGAAAGAGAAAGGGCAAATGTAAGGACGATTACTATTCATAGATATACTTTTTATTTTTTTAATATTTTCTTCGTCTTATCGTCACATATCAGTATTACCATAAATTTTTGGATAATTTTAAATATTTAATTTACAAGCGTATTGAATTTTATAAGATTTTATAGTATAAATTTTGTAAGGTTTTTGAAAATTTTAAATAATTTTTATGACTTTTTAAAGTTTGGATTAACTTGGTTGTTGAATTTTTTTAATTTATTGAAATCAGAGGCTTACAAAACGCCATGTGGCGGAGCTACAAAATTTTTAATTTGTTTTAACCGTTGGAAATCTAACAGTCTAGATGAAAGGACTATTAGAAATCCAACGGTTTGCAGCCAGTATGCTCAAATTGGTTGTCACGTGGGTCGTTGGGCTGGGCTGGGCTGTCACATGGGTGGGGCCCTCCCTCACCCTCCAGCTGATTGAAAGGGCGCAAGCTCATGTGATTCTTGCAAGGGCACAATCCTTTGCTACAATTGCCTCTTCAATTTTGAACCGGTTGAAGAAGTTTTTATGGGTTGGAGTCAATTTAACCCAATTGCAAGGGCAATAAAATAACTGGTGGAGATGCTCTAATTATGACTAGGAAAACACAAGTATGGCAAAGAGTCCGGCCACGTGCCTATGAAGGAGCTTTAGGAATAGGATAGGCCCGATAGGGAGATCCATTACTGTAGCTTAATTAAAGGGTGTTAAGGAATTGTTTGCGAGCTTCGAATTTATATAACTTAAATTTTCTGTCAATTAATTCCGATCGATTAAATATTTTTAAGAATGTCAAGTCACACTAGTAAAGTAGTCTATTACGATTTAGTGGTATTCTTCACTTGTAAGTGAGAAATTTTATGTTCGATTCTTGTCAAAAATGAATTTAAATCAAATTATTACTAGTCCATTGAAAGATTAGGCTCGTCTATTTTTCTTACTGTAAATAATATCGTTTATTAAAAAAAAATTACACTAATAAAGTAAAACCACACAAAAAATGAGTCGGTTTTTCTGGCCTCTAATTTTGGTGTAGCCTTACCCTCAACGTAGCTTTACCTCCCTTCTAAACCCACCGATTCGACTACACCAGTCTCGTTTAGCCAAATTGGCAATAAATTAGGGAATTTGATTCTGTTCAGTCAAATCTGGTCCTATTCCGGTTTATTGTTCTCTATTTAGCCAAAATTGCAATAAATTAGGCAAATTGTTCCGAGTGCAAATTCAATGTTTTGAGAAGCTTTGAGAAGCTTTTGAATTTAATTACAAGACGCTCTCTTTGAATGTTGCATGTTCTCTTACTGTTTTGAGTAAAATTACTATTTTTTAACCTAAAAGCACTTATAATCACATATTAAGGAATTGAATGGTAGAATATACAGACAAAATATCTAGCGCTAAATGTGTACCTAATACGATGCTAACCATTCATCTAATAAGCTCATTCCCAATATTTCTCATAATCGGACCGATCATTTTTTACGTTATCGTTGAAAGATCAACTCTTCAAGGAACTCATTGAAATTGAAAATCATTTAGTTATCTAACTATAATTTGATAACCAATGAGATGTCCACATTTTCAAGTTGAGTGAATCTTTATAAAGATGATCAATGAATGGTTACTTAGAAATGGATAATTCGTAACATAAAATTTATGTGGGTATTGTTCAAGACAAAGTGAGTAGTTACTAACTAGTTCAATCCACCATGACGTGTATCAAAGAATGGAACCCACGGTTTCTAGATTCTACTAAATGCTTTAGTGTTCCGAGAAACTATCGTGGATGTCATTTTCCAAATTGAAATAAGTGTATCTCAATATATTACAGTTCAATCCACTATGACATATAGCTGGATCCCCCTCAAGTGATAAGATGGAATTGTTTTTGGTGGCTATATACACGGACAATTATTTAGCATACTCCATGGTATCACATATTAAGAGAAATATTAAAGAAATTCTCTTAAAGTGAGATTTTCTGTCACTTCATGTTCTTTTGCAGTGTTCTAAAATTTGGCCTAGACGGTTGCCTAGGTGCTAGCTATTGTTGTGCAGATGCGATTACGTCCGAAACATTAAGGAAAATCGGGGAGCTGTTAGGTGCCCACCTAGGCTCTCCTAGGTGGCTTGGGCAGTCTATGCAGTTGTCTAGGCAACAGTCTAGGTGGAGTGAAATGGTTTCTTAGAAAGAAAGTCCAAACATAACCCATAATCGCAAAAGTTTTCTCACCGCTTCGACTCCATGTCTTTGTGCATCATGACTTTCTTAGCTGTCACTACTCTCGCTCTCTGAAATCTTCCTATCCAAACAAAAGAAGAGAAAAAAAAAAAAAGGAGAATTTACAAAGGGAAAACAAAAAAAAAAAAGCATAAGAGGAGGAAACAAAAAAACACGAAGGCGATGAGGAAAAGGAAAGAACTTAAAAAAAAAAACGAAAAAGGTTTTTGGTTTTCGATTTTCAAGGCGTCAAAGTGGTCTCCTTCCTTTGGGAGTCTCTTGGGTGATGCGAGTGTTGGGGTGGAGGGGAGGGGTCACACCTGTGGGGTTTTATGAAATGGAAAAGGATGCATGCAGTAAGAATTTTACCTTTATTATGAACCATTTAACCCACTACCTGAGATTTTTATTAATCATTCATTTTTTTTTTTTGGAAGTGTTATTGGCACTTCAAAATTTTCATTTTACAATCCTCACAAGTGTATTTTTCTTTCTTAATATAGGAAGTTTGGAGTGTGTAATGAGATTCAAAATTGTCTTAAATTATTACTTTATTTTTATAACTTAATATATTTTTTTTATAATTAAGAATAAATTTTTATAAAATCACCTAGATCACCTAGGCCCTAACCCACCGTTCGACTAACGCTTAGCATCTTTTAGAAGCTTGATTTTTTGCACAAAGTTTTATAATATTGATATTGGAATTTGTTGACCCTAAAAACTACCAAGCCTACGTGGCGTGCATGACCGAGTAATTAATAAGCTAACTACGTCCTTCGGTTGTGTGCGGGGTGCGCCAACTCGTCGGCCGAGAAGTAAAATGTGTTGATGTCTCGTTGGGCGTGCTGTTGACTTTTTGATCTCGTGATTGCGGCCGAGGAAGGAACACGTCTCAGCCTTTAGGTTATAGAGCCTGAAGACAAGGTTGCTAGTCTTGCGAAGTTCACGGATTGTTGACACCGGGTTAGGTCACGGTGATTATATCGTAAGAGTGTAAGCACGCTGAATCGACACCAAACTATACGGACACAAGTACTTAAAAGAGATGTATGTCTTGATGGTGAATGTCGTTCGGTCGTCAGAATGCCGAACTCTAAAATTTATTTGTGAATATCCAATCATAAACAACTCGACATTCAATGTGCCGAGCTCAATAATCTATAACACCTTACTTCGCCAAAAAGGCTAATGAGATGACATCTACCAACAAGAACTCAAAAATCCTTCTTGGCTGAGACTTGAATAGGTAACCAGTTGGCCTTGATTCAGTACTGTTTATCCAAATTAAAGATATTTCGGGGTCAGCTGATTCTACGGCAACAATAATGTTAATTCAAATTGAAGATGTCGCATGTTACCTTCACTGTATTTATAGAAGCAAACGTTGCTTGGCGCAGCTCCCCACTATGGTAGAATTTGAGTTCAATTCAAACTCATCAACTAGAGATTCAGTCAAAGACTTTTTCAAGATAAGCAGGAGCCGATCTTTTAGATGCCATCATCATCTGACTCTACTACACCATTATTCGAAAAGCCTATGTCTTCCTTAAACTGTGCCCTCAGGTTGTCTCCTAGTCCAATTAGAACTTTATTTCCACCACATCGATCCAGGTGCAGCCATGCACGCATAATAAGACAGAATATAGTCTCAAAAAGCACATTCACGTGGCCAAAACCAACACAACATCAAAAGGCATATACCTGCATACATATTTATCTGCTGCCGTGCCTTATAAATACCCCCATTCCATCATCATCCAAATCAATTGAGATTTAGACAAATAATAATTTAATATATTACTAAGAGATAATATCATGATTAAAATCATAATATTATTTTTTAATAATTGAAAATTATTTTAACCATTTTATCATTTAACGGTCTAAAATTCTACTCATTCAACGGCCTCAATTACTCGAGCCGATAGTGTAAAATAGGATCCAAACATAATTATACAAAAAACATAAGATGCGCAGAATCTCACATTTAATAGAGTCTCATATTTAATAGAGTCTCTCTAACATTTCTTTTATTTTAATTTTGGTTAAAGATATAATGACTAAAATTAGTAGTTTTTTATTTCACGTTATACACATATTTACACTAGAGTTGGAGGAAATAAATTAATATTAACCCCACTATTCATGAGATTCAGACCTATTACAAGTGAAGAAGCCTGTACGTATATAATACTAAACAACAACTGAAATTTACCTAAGAGATTGCGTATTTAATTTGTTTGCTTGTACGTACTAAAATACAGAGACTAGTAAGTGCATGCTCCATGCGAGGAATATTGAGTAACACAAACCACAAAATTTAATTATGTCCTCATCTGCAGATATGTCTTAAACGTATATATCCAGAAGTTTTTCCAATAGATAGACATTCAGATAACAATTAAGATGCTGACTAGAAATGGAACATACATACTGCACAAACCGTATAAGGATACTAAACGGGTAACTAATTCATAAAGATTTGGGAAGACAAGCGCGGTTTAACGAGGACATCGAGAGGGGTGAGTTTCATGTTCGTAAGTCCAACGCTTCCGGTCATATCAACCGGCGCATTTTTCAGAGTTGAGACATCAAACGCATGTAGAAAACCAGCCAGAGTCAAAAGCGTCGCTTGAAGGCCAAAAGTTATACCAGGGCATGCTCTCCTACCACTACCAAAAGGCATGAGCTCAAAATGCTGACCCCTAACATCAATATCTTTATGGGTGGTGAGAAATCTCTCCGGCTTGAACTCCATCGGGTCAGCCCAAACCCGTGGATCGGTTTGGATCTTCCACAGGTTCACCAACAGCCACGTGCCTTTCGGAACATGGTAGCCTCCGACCGTGCCGTCCTCGGTGAATTCCCTTTGGCCAGAGAGTGGTCCAGCAGGACATAAACGCATTGCTTCTTTAACAGTTGCTTGCAGGTAGACAAGATTGCTGATATCTGATTCGTTCACTAGCCTTTCTTTACCAACATGCTTGTCTAGTTCTTCATGAACTTTCTTCAAAGCGTGACGGTTGTTCAAAAGTAGCGAGAGTGTCCATATCAGAGTCACCGTCGTTGTGTCACTCCCTCCAGCAATCAAAGCCTACAAATAATTGAATCATAATTCGCTTGGTTAGTTAAAACCAAATTTAACCGAGAAAATTTAATTACTTAGTTTGAACTTTTAAAAGAGAGACAATCTTAGAGTACCAAACATGTTGCTTTGATGACTGTATCAGTATCGAAGCCTGAAACATGTGCTCCATCAAGGACTGAGAGCATCACACCCATGAAATCTTGCTGATCATGGCCTTTAGCTCTTCTCTGCTTGTGCTCCTCCAACCATCCCATAACAATACTGTCCAACGCTTTGGCAGTTTGTTTCATAGCCTTCTGATGACCACCCAAATCCAACCACCAAAGCCAAGGAATAGCATCTCCCAACACAAACATTCCCACCAACCGAAAGAACTCCCTCGCGGCGTTTTGCCAAGTTCTTGCCTCTTCTCATCATTCAAATTGCCATTAACAACATTAAAGTCTCTCCTTCCGGCAATCATCCTTAAAACCACATTTAGAGTCAAATCCCCAAACCACCTTTTCATCTCCACCGAAATATCGCCCGACGATGCACCATCTTTTCTTTCGGTCCATCGCTTGTACAGCTCTTTTAAACTCATCTCCACTTCGGATACTCGAACGCTTTTGAGTAACTCGAGCCTTCGGTTTGAGAGTAGCCTCGATGGATATAAGTTTGCGTATTTCGCGCCAGTATGAACCGTAGGGACTAAAGCCGAACATAGCAAAGTCATAGCTCAAGTGCTTAATCCCTAGGGTAGCGGGACGGGAGGAAACAATCGAGTCATTGGTGGTGAAGCACTCCTTGGCAGCCTCCCAAGTATTTATCACCAGAGCTGAGTGGATGCCAATTTTGATGGTGAAGATTGGTCCATATTTGTCAACCAAGGCTCCCAAGGTTATATGGGGAAGCTGGGATCCTCTGAATAGATCGAGATGACCTAGCAGAGGCAACCCACCTGCCAATTTTGGTGGTTTGGAACCCCTGGCATTGGAAGCTGCCCTAAACTTTTGTATGAAATAGAACGAAAATAGAAGTATGGCAAAGAGTCCAGCTACGGCAGTGTTTAGGAATGGGAGAGAAAACTCCATTAATTGTAGCTTGGGTTACTTAGTTATCTATCACTCCAATGATTCTTACTTATTGTACACCATAACATAGTTCAGAGAATCTACGCCTCAGATATACTTTTCACTTATCCAAAGGATCTGTAATAATTGATCCCCAGGAAGCAACTTGCCAATTGATCGCTACCAAAAAAACAGATTAAGATTTTCTTTCCTCCCCTTTCTATTCATTCTTCTCACATTCTCTTATTTTATTTTTCTTTTGCTATAAAAATTAATATAAAATATTAACGTAATTTAACGGTAACCGTTCAAATAGGAAAGAAGGAAAAAAAAAAAAAAAAAAAAAAAAAAGAGAAAATCCTATTCCAAAACTAAAATTTATCAAGAAAGAAAATTGTGGTACTCTATCAAGACAATTATTACGGAAACAATCTCAATGTGAGATTTTACATTGATTCTCCTACAGATGGAATAAAAAACTGAAAATTTCAAATTGAACCGAAAAAAATTTCAAAACCAAGCAGAAAAAATCCAAAACCGAAAATTCCGAAAATTTTGGTACCCAATATCGAACCGATCTTGAAATTTCGGTACAAGATTCAGTCTCACGTTTACATTAATTCGGTAATCCCAAACCAAACAGTGAGATATATATATATATATATATATTATTTAATTTTAAATTGTAACAACCGATTTGATTAAAATTTAATCTCAACCGTTGAATCCAAATAAACCCCCACTCACGGTGAGATTCAGTCCCTCTCACCTCACCCTCGTCCTCGTCGTCTTCGACCTCACCCTCACAGTCACAGCGTCACTCAGTCACTCTCTCTCTCGACCTCACCTCACCCTCACTTAGTCACTCACTCTCTTTCTCGACCTCATCTCGTCCCTCAGACCCTCACTGTGGAGTAGCCTTCCTTAACGGCACAGAGGCAGAGCCACGGCCACCGGCGCCGCTCACCTCTCTGATCTCTCTCTCGACTTCTTCATCCAGATTCCAGTGCACTGTGCACCGATTCTCCCCCAAATCAGGTAAATTTTGGAATTAATTTAGGGTTCGAATTCTAGATTACGGTTTGTCAAATTTCGCAATAAATTGGGGAGCTTTGTTTATTGCTTCTAATGGCGGTTCTGATGTTGGTATTTGTTTTTTCTTTGTGGTCTTGCTTGTAATTTCAGAATTGCGAAATGATCACAAAGAGATTACCGAGAAATTGAACCGAAATATAGAAGTTCTGCATTCGGCAAGGCTTACTCCGAAACAATCATCACTCAAAGATTCGGGTAGGTTTTTGAAACCCGGCATGCATATTATCGTTTTGGTAGGAAAGTTACATTTCTACGGTTTAATCTGTTTCGTGTTTTGATATGTATTGTGTGTGTGAGTACTGATAGTGAGTGCCTGTGCACTGTGAGAATTCTGAGATTTATTGGCCTTTCCAGATAGGAGCTAAATATATATTGTACTGTTTATCTATCAAGATATGTGACACCTGCATTTTTGTCTAATGTTTCTGTGATGATGGATGTCAGATGGCCAAAGCGCATCAGTTGTCAACGTGGTTGCATCTGCATCCTCAACCAATGTTCATACTGGTTCTACCAATGCCATGGATGTGGATGTGATTGTGAGCGTACCCTTTGCGTTGGTGGGTGAGATATCTGATGCATCACCAGCAGCAGAGGATGGTTTGCAGCTTGGAGATCAGATTGTTAAATTTGATAGTGTGGAAAATGGCGATAATTTGTTGCAGAAACTTGCTTCTGAGGCTCAAGCTAATCAGGGCCGTGGGATACCTGTAATACTTGTAAGGCAAGGTGCTCAAGTCAACTTCACCATGACACCTAGAACATGGCAAGGCAGGGGTCTACTCAGGTAAATGTCGTTTTATTTCGTTTCATTTTTCTCTTGTTAAATGCATTCATGATTTGATTACTTGTCATAACTTCTTTGTTAGGGAGGGCATTGGTTAACATTTCGTATTAGTGCTATTGAGGTTCTTAAAAGTTCTCCAAAGAATATATAATTGACAGCTTTTTCAGTTAATTTCCGTTGTTCATCAAGTAACATTGAATTATTATTAATCTTTCTTCCGAGTCTAACATCCAATCTGAGAACGATATCATAGAAAACCTTTGGTCAGGAAATTATTATATTGCCAACTATGTTTCGTTTAAAGTTATTCTCTTCTCAATATGTAAGTATATCAGCATATTTGGTCTAAAGCATCATCGTAATGCATTATAACTGGAGTTTTCTGATAGATATGGTTTACATTTGATAATGCCGTCTCTGTGTGGGTGAATGGAATGCCCTTTCTTGGGGTTTTGTTTTTTTGAATTGCACAGTATTATACGCAGTAAGCTATAATAAGTGGAGAACAGATTTTCCTCACGACATTTAAGAGTTTTAGTAATCTCAAATTTTTTTGAAGTTGTTCTTCCTCCAAGTTGGTTTCCAGACCATTTTTAGTCTTCCGCCCTATATTGTCAGTCACTTTCTGTCCTCAAGACATGGATTCCCATTCTGTCCTCAAGACATTCTTGCAGAGAACTTTTGGTTCATGGGGAAACATGGAAGGTTGAGGCTTTATATTCACAAGGTTAAATTTAGCCCAAAAGCCCAAAACTATTTCGGGATTCCTGATTTGTCCCGAAATCCCGAAACTATTTCGGCATTCCTGGTTTGGGATTGGTCTCGAAATTGGGATTCCCGAAAACTTTGGTTTGGGAATTGAGACAAGGGTTTCGGTTCAGTATCCCATATCGAACCAGCCTTAGATTCTCCGTAACATTTTATTTTTGGCAGAATATGTCACGAAGCCGGAATAAGAATAGTGATAAAAATGTGAGGTGGCATAGGAGAGGTTTTTAGGGTATTCGGAACACGAAGTGCTATATCACATGTTACTATACAAGTGGTGAGATACTTATGTTAAATATTAAACACTTAGAAATAAAATGACGTTCTTCAGTTCATCATGTCAGGTTGAAGAGATTATCTTTCTCCATTTGATCACAATGGAGGGTGTAACTATTTAAACTTATCCGATATTGTATAACACTACTGTTTAATTTTTAATTATTATGTAAATTATCATGTGAAGGCTCGTATTATAACTATTAGGATTTGTAATTTAGTTGGTTAAATAAAATTTAATTTTATATTTTTCAAAACATAATAACAAGAAAAAAAGGCCTATAATTAGGTCAATAACTTAAAAAGTGAGATAGTTTCGAATCTAAAATATATGAGTAAATTACCAACGATCATATTCACTAGAATATCATACCACATACCACACTACTGGATTCATTTTCTCCTCTCTCGATAGCTTGTAGCATGACAAGAAGAAAAGACACATCTTACATCAAAATAAAAGCTGTTTAAACCTCCTTAATTAACCAACAATTAAGCAGTTCAAATTTTATTGTGGTTCGGACACTTTGACTAGAGATAGAGTTCACTAGGTAGACGTGGGCTGAGGAGAGCTTCCAAAGGAGTTGCTTTCGGAATGGTCAGACCAGGACTCTCAGTCAAATCAATAGCCTGACCCGACGCCGTTTCAATCTTAAACCCGTGCAGCAGTCGAGCAAGCGTTAGGTGAAGAACCTGCATGGCAAACGACACACCAGGGCACGACCGTCTGCCAAAGCCAAACGGCATCAGATTAAATTGTTGGCCTCTGACGTCGACATGGCTATGGCTTTCCAAGAACCTCTCAGGAACAAAAGCAGATGGGCTCTCCCAAACCCTAGGATCCCTTTGAATCTTCCACACGTTGACCACTAGCCGGGTGCCGGCTGGCACGCGGTACCCTGCTACGGTACAGTCTTCCAGAGCTTCTCTGGGTCCCAAAAGGGGCCCAGCTGGGTACAGACGCAGAGTTTCCTTGATTATGGCTTGGAGATATACCAAGTTCGTGATGTCGGATTCTTCAACCTGTCTTTCTGTGCCGACGTGGAGGTCTAGCTCTTCTTGTGCCTTTTTCATGGCATGGGGATTGTTTATGAGTAATGAGATTGCCCATGTCAGAGTTCCTGCTGTCGTGTCACTCCCACCAAGTATAAGCGCCTACAATTTCCATGTTTAATTTGTTTGAATTAAGGCAATTAAATGAAAAATAATCAATTTTCAACATAATAAAAAAGTATGAGTTAATTAGTTCTGAATCTAGTAACGTGCATTTGTAATTAAGCAAGTATTAAAGTATGTAGCTCATTGTGTGCATATTGAGGTTACACTTAAACATGATCTTAAATCTCGGGTCACCATCAGTTAATAGCCTACGTGGTAAGTGTGTGTCACATTTTTTTTTTCTTCAGTATAATAATATGTTTTACACTAAAAGGAGAAGAGAATGCGGCTAAGCCATACAATCAGTAATATAATTTGGTACCGAATTCGCCTATCATGAGATTCGAACTTAAGACATCTTAGTTACAAGTGAAGAAGAATATCATCAGACCGTAGTACTGAGTGACGTGCCACACTTCTAAATGGCAACCAATTTTCCCGCCCAATTCGAATTGAGACAGTTTTCATCTCCCAGTCCTTAGAGTCCTAAATTCTTTAGAGCTTTCAAAATTTACGTAGTAATGTGAAAAAAATTAAAATTTTCTTTCCTGTTTGCAAGCAACTGCATTAGTACATTCCTCATAGCGTATTTTAAAAACTATCTCTAAACAGTACCAATAGTGTCATGCTTCTCTAGATTTTTTTTAAAAAGAAAGAAACCATACCAGACAGGTAGACTTGATGCTAGTATCTGAACTATACTGAAAATTTGAAAGCTGCCCTTCCTCCTCAAGAGACAACATGACATCAATGAAATCCTCATCACCTCCTTCATCCTCCGCCTTACCATGAGAAGCTCCTCTCCTCTGGCGGTGCTCCTCCAGCCACCCTCCGAGTATTCCATCCAACTCTTTTGCGGTCTTCTTCATCGCCTTTTCGTGCCCCTGCAAATCCAACCACCAAAGAAACGGCAGTGCATCTGCCACCACAAAAATCCCGATCAGATGAAAAAACTGCCCAATCGCCTTCTGACACCTTCTCGCCTCGTCCCCATCTTCGCATTTCGCCGACGCGCCAAAATAACGCTTTCCCGCCACCATCCTAACCACCACGTTAAGCGTCAGCTCCTCCAACCAGTGATTGAGCTCGACAACGGCAGGTCGTAAACCTCCGTTTTGGACCCACAAATTATACAGTTCTTTTATGCCCATGTCGAGTTCTGACGTCCTGACATGTTTGAGCATATCCAGCCTTCGATTCGAGAGGAGCTCGAGCGTTGCGATTTTTCTCATCTCCCGCCAAAATGGGCTGTAGGGCGCGAAGCCGAACACGGCATAGTTGTAGCCCATGTGCTTGGCGGCCACCGTCGTGGGTCGAGAAGCGAGTGCCCTGTCGTTGACTGTGAAACAGTCTTTAGCTACTTCCCAGCTGCTCACTACAAAAGCTCGGCGGCTGCCGAGGCGGATGTTGAAGGCTGGGCCGTACTTGTCCGCCATTGCCCCAAGTGTTCGGTAAAGAAGCTGGTCTCCGCCTCCTAGAAGGTGGAGGTGGCCTATGATTGGCCATCCACCGGCGGGTTCCGGTGCTTCTCTAGACTTGGAATCTTGCACATTTTTTTTAAGACATGCGCGAATGAGAAAAATTAGAGAAACGAGCAAACTTATGACAGTTAATTGGATAGAAAGATCCATGATTGGAATAATGTTGCAAGGAGTCAATGAAATAGCAAGCTCCTGTTAGGTTGATTTATATACAAGTAATCCACTGGGGATTTCAGTAGGTTAGGCATAATGAAACATGCCGATTATTGCATTGGTTACTATCTGGAGCAGTCTCCAACCTTAATATTATTGCATTGGTTACTATCTGGAGCAGTCTCCAACCTTTAATTCTAGCTTTCTAGTAAATAACCACTTATGCTCGAATGGTGACGAAGTAGAATAACTTTACAGAACGCTACCTCATTCAGTATTAAAATATCAATTAGTATATTTGATTCTCCTTGATTGCTAGAGAGATCAAATTTTTAAACTAAATTTGTAAATCAAATAATGTAGTTATTGATAATTGGATTATTACTTAACGTTGATTAACGTGCTTATTTTCTATTGGTGATACATCATTTGATTTGCAAATTTAGTTTAAAGTTTAGCCTCCTTAGCATTACCTTGCGTGTAAATCCTATATTGATATCTCATAGAGTTGACTTCCTAGAATACTATTTGTATTGTATAAACTTGTATTTCATTGTAAAAGAAAATGGCTTTTTTTATGCAAAATGGTCTCTGAGATTTGCATAACTCCTTACTTTGGTCCCTGAGATTTGAAATTAATAGAAGTGGTCCATGAGTTTGTCCACCATCAATTATTTTCGTCATTCTGTAAAAAATTCTGTTAAATAAGGACTAAATGAAAAAAATACACTTAATTTAATAAACAATGTGCCAAAATGATTTGACGAAACTTGAAGGTATTTTTGTCACTTTATCGTTAGTTAATAGAGATTTTTCAAGGAAATATCAAAATGATTGATGGTAGACAAACTTAAAGACCATTTTTATTGATTTTAAATCTCAGAGACCAAAGTAAAGAGTTATATCAATCTCAAAGACCATTTTAGCTAAAAAGCCAAAGAAAATTAATAAAAAGAAATTTATTGAGAATTCCTTCCATGTATCTAATTCTAGCATTAGCACTTTTCAACATGGTATCAAGGCACCGTTTCTGATGACTTTGATTGCCCACATCGCTTCTGCAACGTCAGTAGACACCACATCGCCACTGTTGTCGAACCAAAAAAAAGTCTAAAATCAAAAGAGACGTTCACTAATGTCTCAAACCCCTTTACTTTACATGCCTCCGATCAGCCTGGGGATATATTGGTTTCCTAAACACTTCAATGAGACAACTACAATACATGGGGTCGTGCTAGGCAAATTAGCTTGAGCGCGAATAACAAACTCTGTTCTGTTACTCAGGCACTAAGATGCATAGTGATTTTCCTTCCTGATTTTTGTGTGATACAGAATCACCACAAGCAATGATGAGGTGGCCATTTGTGATCTTAAACAATTCCTTCAAACTCATTTTCGAATCAAGGATAATGAACACTTGAAATATTTTCTTGGCGTGAGGTGGCTTGGTCTTGCTAAGGTATTTCCATCCCCCAGCGTAAATATACCCTAGACATTCTTGACGAAGCTTGTTTACTTGGTGCAAAACCTGCAAATATTTCATACCCAGTTCATATTTTTAGTTTATTTATGCAACAATTGAGAAAAGGTTATTGTGATGCGGACTGGGCTTGATGTCCCATTACGAGAAGGTCCGTCACAAGTTATTGTATATTCCTTGGAATTGCACTTGTGTCTTGAAAAAGTAAGAAACAATCCAGTGTTTCTCGGTCCTCTGCTATAGTGGAATATTGTCTCACATCTTCTGCCATATTTGAGCTTACATGGTGAAGTTTCTATTAGCTAATCTACGGGTTGATCATCTTGGACTAGTGAAGTTACATTGTGATAGTCAAGTTGCCTTTCAAATAGTCGCTAATCCGGTTTTTCATAAGTGCACCATGCCCTATAAATCAACTGCCATGTTGTTCGGAAACGGATACACTATGGAGTTATTACAAAATCTTACATCCCTAGTGGACAACAACTAACTGACATATTTACCAAGCCATTTGGGCAAGCTACATTTCGATATCTTCCTGGCAAGATGGATGTACATGACATTCACACTCCACCTTAAGGGACAGTATATATTTGGAAAACAATATCAATCAGTCTATTTGATTCTCCTTGATTGTATGATTGGATTCATATAAATCATGTATTGATATCTCATAGAGTTGAATTTGATATGGCATTTGAATAGAATAATAGTATTTTAAAGTTTGTGTGGCTCTTTTTATTATTCATATTAATTAAATGGTATCTAACAATAATACCAAAGAAAGAATTAAGTAATAAAACGGGATGAAATGTGCTTGTAACAATCAGTCACTCTTTTATTCTTAAGTTAACGCCTGACAACAATTTTAGACTTTTAAATGATGATTATGATTCACTAAAATAATGATTCTAATGTATACCTTATAATTCTTGTGCGAAGAATCAATTATTCAATGAAAGAAACGTAATAGTTATTTGGGTCACTCACGATCATAACATATGATTCATGATAAAATATGGTTGTTGATAATTGAATTATTACTTAAATGTTGATTAACGTGTTCATTCCCTATTGGTGACACGTCAAATAATTTACATATTTGGTCTAAAAATTTGTTTTACCTAACATTATCCTTATGTTAAACTTCATTAGGTTAAAAAAAAAAAAATTTGACATTAATTTTCTAATCTATATAAGGGGAGTACCCCAAAATAGTGAAACATCCAAAATACCATAAATTGTCCCCAAAGAATTATTCAAAATTACAATTGAACTAAAAGGAGTTAAAATAATTCGACAAATACTAATATTGAATGAATTCAAAATCTAAAACATCTTGAATGAATTTGAAATTTTAAACTTTACAAACAAAAAAAAAAAAAATAACAAAACCCCACGTTAGTGGGTGGTTTATGTTTTTTTTTTTAGTATATTGATATTTTTACACTAGGTGGAGGAGGAGTTCAACTAAGCCATACAATGGGCAGCCTAATTTGGTATCTAATTTGCCATCCACGAGATTCGGACCTAAAACCTCTCACTTATAAGCGAAGAGAAATATCACCACACTGTAATACTGAGTGGCAGTTGGTGGTTTATGTTTAACTTCTAATTTATTTTCAATTTTTTTTAGAAAATGAGAAGGAGAGAGGGAGAGAGGGAGAACGTGGGGGGAGTAGGAGCTTTGTTTTCGGTTTTTTTTTTTTTTTTTTTTTAATATTTGAGGTATTTTAACATTACATGTAAGTGAGACTTCGATTAAAAAACAGTAAAATTTCGAGCTATGAAATTACATTATTGCCCATCATTTTTTTTTTTTTGTGATGGAAGATTAATTTGTCTTTTTACCCTCTTTTGGTTGACAAAGAAGGTTTCATTAATTAGTAGAGATATATAAATAAGAAAATTTTAAATTTCTTAATTTGTTTTGTGAAAAACCACAAAAAAAAAAAAAAAAAACTTAAATTTAATGTACAAAACCAAACGTGGGACAAGAGGCTAGTAAATGATTTATTAGGGACTACATGGTCGAGGCTTCTCTAGTTTAAGGCCCAAGGCAAGGGACGTGTGTGTTTACCAGGCCAATATGCCCTAAACAATTGTTATATATTTCTCTTGTTAGTTTTTGGTTCGTGTCATAAGGAAAGGGATCTTCGGATCTCTTCCACCTAATTCTTTTCATCAAATAATTTAAGTTCTTGAAATTTGATGCAACAACTAAACTTATTATAACTTTAAAGTGGGTTCGTGTTTTTAACCGTTGGATCAAATTTCAATGGTCCAGATTGTTTGATGAGAAGATTAGGTGGAAGGGATCCGGAGAGGATCCCTTTCCATGTCATAAAGCCTCAAATTGGTTTCAGTTTGACGAGAAACTTTTCAGTGTATTTAGATTTTTACGGGTTGGTACATCACATGTTATAATACAAGTGGATGAAGACTTTAAAAAAAAATTATTTCCACTCATACTTTGACATGTGGTATACCATATCCTAGCCACATAAAAAAATCTCTCCACAATGCCAATGAAAAATAAATCTACAGAAAAAGTATTTGGATTCAAAATGAGCAAATACTCAAATACAAATGGGGCCACCAGTATTATTTTTTTTGTTCAAAGTTACTCAGTTAGTTAAATTTATATATGCAATAGTCTTCATAGCTTTTATATCAATTTCTATATGCAATGGGTCTTCATAGATTTTGTCATTAATTTTGATAAAACTGATGATGGTGATGGGCAATGTGGGGACTGGAATTTGCTACTTCTGCAGAAGAATGAGGAAAGGCGGAAGAAGAAGAATAAAGGGGTTGGGAGGGGGTTGAGTTGGATTATCGACTGACAATCTGAGATGGTTGTGCCAATTTTTTTTTCTTTATTTTTATGTAGGAGTAATTTAAAAAGTTATAGATAATGTAAAAATATTATCAATTTATACTGGTGTGTAGAGAAGTATGTAAATTGAATTGTGGGTGTCCAAAAATAAAAATTGTGGGCCAAAGTCCGAAGTTTAAACATGAAATGAGCTCCCAAGCGAATACATTACATCGTTGGGCAACATAAAAATACCTTCTCCTTCTCATTCATTTCCTTTCCAGAACTTGGCCAAACCGATTCAGTGGGATCAAAACGATGAATGGCATTCGACGATTCGTGGCATGAAATAAATTAAACTTTCGTTAATCTCGCAGAAAATTAAAACTAAAATAGTGAGAATTTCAAAGTATTTGGATCACCGTTTTTTATCTCGCACAATGTAGTACACGAAAGTATTTAGATTTTAATGGAGTGTTGAAATGATTGATGAAACAACCCAACAAGTCATTCGTTTAGAATAATTTGATGATTGGTATCTCATTTACTTTGTTATTAGATCTAGATACAAGCATTCAAATTTAATGTGGTCTGTACAGTTTCTTTCGATTACTAGGTCGCGGTGAAAAAAGAATCTCATGTAAAATAACACAAGCATTGGTATTGCATATTAGGACAGATGATCAATCATCTGTATCTGTTGAGAAAACATAGCTTGTAAAAACTAAATGTTGTTAGTTTTGTTATTAGGTGTGGTTAGTTAGAATTGTAACAGTTTAGTTAAGGGCATAAATGTAAAGAGCCCAAGGCTATATATACATACATCCATGTAATTGTTATACACAGAAAATGAAATACAACTTGTAGAGGAAGTTTTGTTTTCTTTATTGCATCTAGGGAAACATGAATTTCATGATGGTCCGGCGACCCATCTTCGACATCTGTTAG